AAGTATCAGCTACAGGAAGCATTCCGCCAGGAAACCGCTTTGGAAGACCAGCAATTCCTGTCCAGTGCCAGGTTTTGGCATTTGTTTGGTTCATGGCTAATTCAGAAGTGATGAGATCCGTTTCGGATCGGTTTAACGTAACGCTGAGTAGTTTGTTCAGGATTATTCAACGAGTTAAAAGTTGATGTAGCTGCGATTACATTAATGTCTTCTTCCTCATCAAAACCAAATAAAATTTCAACCTCTTCATCTACCAACTCGTCTAAAATTATTACCAACTCGGCAGCCATCTTGGTGTCCCGTCGGGTAACGGGCACCGCGCAGGGGTTGACGACCAAATGGAAAAACTTTTTACCAATCGAAAAATCCACTTTTGCTCCCACCGAAATTTCCGATTTTTTTTCTAAATGGAAAGCGCCCATTGTATAAGAGAGATGCTCGTTACATATGGAGGAAGACACTTAATTAGTCTGGAGGAACGCCGATACCCTAAGATACCCTATGTTATTACTATTTACCGACTTTGAGAAGTGTCACATTAGTTATTATTATTCGACTGCACTCAGTAGAGTACAAGTAACTCTAAAAACGATTACAAATATCTCACGGTGTTTGTAGTCCAGAAGACTGGTTTGACCGGTTTTAATCGCGCACAAACGTCGCAATTAAATGGCAGGAAATGTATCGTTTTCCGAAGGAAATAACGGAATAGCGACCAAGTTGTAAGTTTAAATAAACCGAGTTTCTAGAGTAAAGTCGTCTGAACAACAATGAAATGTCTACATTTATCAAAAATAATAAAGAGAGCATACAAACTATAAGCTAAAGATACAGCAGAGAAGATGAAAACAGACCTGAAGTAACTGTTGTGTGATACAGATGGTGATGGCGAAGATCCGTGAAAGAAACAACGTCCATTAAATACAGTCCACGCCGAGGAACTTAACAGTCTTCACCTCTAGTTCTTTAAAAAAAAGATCATGATTTGAGGAAACTTGACATGGTAGACATATAAGACTTTCTCTTTTTGTTAGCATACCCCAGCGAAGATAAGGTTTCAAGTCTTTTGTTTACGAGTAGCTTTTAGAAACTCCTCGAATTTGTAGAAGAGTTGTCGTCTTTCCATTACAATTTGCTCTACACAGTTTTGCTACTTGTAGTCCGTTTTACATAACCGATTACCATCATAAGCCCCACGATTATTTGTCCTTCCATCTCTGTTTTTCTAGCAAATGCTTGAAAGCGCCGACGAAAACTTGTGAAAAACTTGATTTGCCGAGTAAACTAGTTTGACAAGGTTTCATTTCTGACCAATCAGCAACAGCGTTGATGAGAGGGCGCGAAAACTCGACTCATGTTAGTCACGCATTCTCGTCATAAGTAGGCCGGGCAAGCGTGCACATTTACTGAGGTCTAATTTATACTCCTCGAGTTGATTAATAAATCTCTTATTGGACGGTCTAGTGTGTGGTATCGAGGGATATTTTTACTCGTCTCTTGTATTTTGACTTGCCCTACGGGCTCGCCAAAATACAGCGTGACTCGTAAAAATGTCCCACGATTCTACACACTAAACCGTCCAGTAAGATATATATCTATTGGTAGCTACTAGTAGTGATCATAGATTAATGAGTGCGTTCGAGTTTTCTTAGCTCCAGATTAGCTTTTGTGTCGTCACGCATTATTTCAAGATCATGGAAGAAATCATGAATTGAAAGGTAAACATTCTTTTCTTAAAAATGCTGTTCGCGTATACGGCTTCAAAATATCTCACTCATTAACTCTTTACTCCTAAAATGTCTTACTCTCCCTCAAGCATGGTCGATAAAAATGTAAAGTAGATCGTAAAAAGTTCTATGTTGTTAAAAAGATAAGCAAGTCACTACAAACTTCGAAAAAAGGGTTGCCTCGAAAATTAAAAAGTTCTGGCTTCTTGCGTGACACAACTTGAAGTGAAAAAAATGATCATAGGAGCGACGGAAACATATTAGGTTTTTGCTAGATTACTGATGTCAGAGAACCGAACAGAAGCTTTTGCCATTGTGCAAACTATTCACCTCATGATTATTGTAAGTTCATGTAGGTCAGTACAACATGTTTTAAACTTAGTTTGCTTCAGCGAGCGAGATACTTATCATGCAAAATGGCCCGCGTAGATATATCAGACGCGAATAAAGCATTACAGTTGTAACAGCCTGCACTGATTCGCTCAAGCTTACTTTATTCCAGTATATTTTTCGTGCATGTAAGAGGTTAAACTTCAAATATGTAAATAGACTCAAACGCACGGGTAAACTTCTACCTGGTCTTTATTGTGTGTTTCTACTAAGTTCCAGCTCGATTTGAACGGCATTGACCGAAAAAGGTGTAGCAGAATCATCAGCTCAGTGATAAAACCCGCTTAGTAAACAACTCCAAAGTTCATCCTTTTGCCGAACTCAAATATTCTCGTGTAATCATCTTGTTGACTTTAATCGAACCAGTGAGGCTCGTGATTGCCGTATGACAATTGCTTATGACGTAAGTAACGCGAGCTAAATTATTCAAGATGGCGCAGAAAATGCAGACGCACGACGAAACACGCTTGCTGAAAAGGTCACCCTTGAGTACCACAGGAATCCCAAGATTATGTGTTGCGTTCTCCTAACGTCAAACGCAATCTTTTCACTACCTGTGTCGAAGATAGTTTTAAGATAGGTTATCAAGTGTTTCACGAGAAACGGATAGCTTTCAAATAGCCTATCGTTTCACTATCTATTCCAAGATAGCTTTTGTATAGCATATTAAATGGCTTTATGGACAATGGATAGCTTTAAGATCTATCTTTTTACTATTTACCAGTAAATTAGTATTTAGATAGTAGAGAGTTTAACTTTAAAAAATGAAAACACGCTACCTCAATGTAAATCGAGCTTCAAAGAAAAAGCTGGTTCTGACAATTTGAGCGTAAAACCCTATTCCTTGATCAGCTGCTGCTTTAAAAACAATTTATAAAGCAAACCAGAGTACTAATTGCCCTTTCAAACTAGAAATCGTATTAAAGCTTGCTAACCTGTTAGTTCCTCTCGAACAGACAACGAACAGCTGCTCAGTGAATCATCCAATTTCGGACCACGAGTTGCAAATATAAGACAATGACGTCACTACCAAAATATGGGGTCTTACTCACACCCAAATATGGTCAAAAATGCAAATTTTAGAGGGTTACGCAGAATTTGAGAGTTTTTGCCCACATTGCACGGCGTTATAATTCTGCCGTCGAGGCAACCTCGCTTCTTAGCTCGGTTGCCTCGTTGGCAATTACCGCGTGTTTTGATACTGTTTTGCATGTTACGCCAGACTTTCTATGAGAATAGGCCATTTGTACTTCAACATCATTTTACTAGTACGACCAGAATCCTCTAGGGTTTTTCTTTCTTCTGCAAATTAGGGCTTTTATTATTTACTGTGAAACTCACCAGAAATATTTATGAAATGTTACTGTTTTGCGAGAAATTAGCTAATAAGGAACGAGATAACTAAACCGCAAACAGCAACGGTAATTAGTTTGTGGTTATAAGGTTTGCTTGCTTATCCTGAACTTTATTGTAATTGGCCAGTACACAATCAATATTCCTGAAATTTTTCAGGTGTTCACGGTTTTCTGAGTTTGACAGTAAACCTCAATGTCATTACAAAATTCAAATATGAAAGGGAAAACGAAAAGGATTCTGGTCGTAGTAGTAAAACGACGCCATCGTGCAAATAACCTACTTCATAAATATAGAAATAAACTTCGCTTACGTCCATCCGTCTAGTTTGTCCATCGGTCCGTCCCTTCGTCCATCAGTCTAGTTTGTCCGTCCTTCCCTTCGTCCTTCCATCCGTCCAATCCAACCGTTTATCCAATCCATCTATCCAGTCAGTCTGTCCGTCAAGTCTATCCCCCCCCATCGTCCGTCCAGCCCGTGCGTCCGTACTGTCCGTCTGTCAAGTCCAATCTATCCGGTCCTTCCCGTCCGTCCGTCCATCTAGTATCTAGTCCATCCAGTCCATTTGTACACTCTGCCCAGTCCGTCTGTCCGTTCGTCCGTGCGCACGTCCGTCCGACCTTCCATCTGTGCGTTCGTTTGTTTAGTTTGTCCGTCTGTCCATCCAATTCATCCGTCCATCAAATCAATCCGTCCGTCTGTCCGTTTGACCAATCCATCCGTCCAGTCCGTCCACCCGTCCGTCTAATCCGTCCGTTCGTCTGTCTAATTTGTCTGTCCGGAGGACTTAAACAAATCAGAAACAGAGACATTTTTTTTAAATGAATTACAAATTTATTAACTTACAATTAAACAATTGGAGTTATCATACTTTGTAAATTTAGGATTTAGCTAAGCTACTAGTTTCTCTGCAGACCTAAAGCTACGGTCAAACGGACAACAAAAACGTGCGACTTCCTTTGCAACATTGCTACAAAACGACTTGAGAAGCTATGTTGCGCGTTTTACCACCTACGTTCAAACCTGTTTTGCAACAATCAGGTTGTTGCAAGTTGCGAAAATACTGAATTATGATTGGATAAAATTACGCGGAAGTCGCGCTATAGATGTGAGTTACGTCACTTGTTTCAAAACAAGCTTTCGTTGGGCCTTTTAAACGCGCAAAATGTACAGATTTTGTTGCAAAAAGTAGAACTACTCATTACTTTCACACAATTTAAAGTCTACAAACGACACAAAGCAAAAACAAAGCAAAAAACAAAACAATGGGAAAAGCGGCAAAAACAATAGGCTGAACCGTGTCTTGTGTTGCCTTGATGGCTAAGTCTCTTTGGTGTCACGGAACTGCAGTTCACCTCTAACAAGAAACCAAAAACAAAATGATAAATATAAACTGAAACACCATTTTAAAAATTTTCCACCATGGAAAGTTCTTGTGATGGTCTGACTTTATATTGTGTGTTGAAAAATATTTGATTTTATCGACCGGATTAATTCTAGCCGTGCTAGGCTCTAAAACTGTGCTCACAGTATAACGTTTGGACCGACACGATAATCATACAGGACAGAGCTTCTGTTCACACAAAAGAACGGTTGTGGCGGCGCGATTTCAGTGACGGAACGAGAGTGGAGCGTCACATATCGGATAGGTTTTGTGCCATATTTTAGAGCATTGTGAACACGTATTCGGTTTCCTCGCGGAAGTAAGAGTTCGCTTGCTTTTGACAAAGTAAATGAGTTGGAGTAATCGCGATAGAGATTAAAAGAACACAAATTCACTTGTTAAGCCACGTTTTCGTGTCCGTCGCCGTCGTGCTATCTTAAACTCCCTATTGGATATATGTGTGTGAACGACTTTAGGGCTGCCCACCATTGGCCGCTTCTGTCCATACTATAACAGATAGCTTCCCTGGGGGATAGCTTTTCGTGGCGCCACGAAAAGCTCTCCGGTATAGTTTGACCCTTTCAGAGCCAAATTTAACCAAAAGCAAATTTCGACCAAATTTCGAAATTTCACGTTCTGAAATTCTGAAAAACAAATAGCATTGTGTGGAAGTACAGGCAGAGAGCTTTCATTTGAATGGTCACATCATAGGATTTCATCCACAGACTCAAAAGTTAGAGTCACCTTAAAATCTCCATCAAGCACTCTCGCAGTGAAAGGGTTAAAACATAGCCTAAGATGGTAGGGACGTCGTGAAAACAAGGTGCACGTGACCTGCGATTTTTTTTTTCGCATCTGCATTTACGATCTCTGCACATAACAATTTTTGAGCCTGGAACAGGCTAGATTAAGGGCTGTTTACATCGAGGTGTGGGACCTCAGGTAGGTGAGGTAAACCGCTTAGGTGGGGCAACCCGCCTGTCCGTATAATCGCTCGTTTTAAGATGATCACGTTTACATGATAAGTGGGGTGACCCGCCACATTTTACCCCACCTATCTGGGGTCCACCACCTCCATGTAAAATGGAACTCATCCCTGTTGTGCACTAAGCTCGTGAATTCTAAAGCCGAAGGGTTTTGATCCAAATTATTATAAAGAAGAGAAGTGTGCTAAAGCTGAAATATCATCATATTTACCCATCATACAAAGGGTTTACTGCTCCTTCTAGAGGTTCCTGGCCAGATCTGCAAATCAAAAATACGTAACATGTGATTAAATAAAATAACAGCGCTTTGTATAGGTAATAGCATGATTTGTAGTAATATTTGGCATAAAGACCACGTGTGATGTTTCAAAATTGTTATACGTAATTTCACGAGCCGTTAGGCAAGTGAAATTTGAGATAATTTGGAAATATCACGAGTGGTATTTATGCCAAATATCACGTACAAATCATGCTATTATTTGTTTATACTACTACCCGCAAAAGACTTAAGTATATTCATTTTAAGATTACTTACTTCTGGAATGTCACTTGCTGAATCTCCAAGTTTTTATTTGATCTCCTTCTGTCATAGAATAAGCAAAAAAAACGATAGCATTGTCATGGCTGCATATACAGTCCGGGGAGGGGAGGGGGGAGTACTCAGGATTTCAAGTGACAGGGATGATAGAATGGGGGCAAAAATCAAAACCCAAAAAAATCCCTAGGGCTTCAAACAAATTCCAGGAAAATCCCTGAACCAAAATTTCACGCTGACTTTCCGAGCCAAAATAATCTTTTCGCGGAACTACGCGGCCGGGATACGTGGGAACTATCTCGAATCTTGAGATTGTTTTGAATACCCAAAAAAAACTCTACTTAAATCAAGCTACCCAGAAAAATACCTGCCAAAATTTTCCAATCCAAAAATATCCTGAAATTGAAAATTTGAAACCCCCAAAAAATCTTTGATCATCCCTGTCACTTTAAATCCGGAGTACCCTTCCCCACTGGGACAGACAGCGTTGTAGTACCCGATTAGTTTTAATTTCACTAATTTTCTATTTGCTTCCGTTTTGTAACAAATTGAACGAAATAGGTTCAAACGAAAGCCAAAATTCCAACTGTTTTCCTGGCAAGTGAAAGGAAAAAAGTAGCACAAAGATTTCCTGTTTTGGCCTTTACACTAGAGAGTGTTAACGTTGACAACGAGTGCGATTTCGAAAATCGTTATTGATTTGAAGTCGATTTCGGCGCCTGTCACGTAAGCGAGTATTTCGAAATCAAATCGAAACTGTTGCTCCTGATCCTTTAAAAATCTCGTTCTCGCCACCTCGACTTTTCGATGAAAACTTGCCGTAAAAACGACTAGAGCATGTGCAGCTGCGAAGAACCGATGCGCTCAATCGGCAAACTCGTTGTCAACGCTTACATTCTCTATTTATCTTCAGCGCACCGCCATTTTGAATCTTTTGACGTTTTCCTGCTGCTTTCGCTCTTTACGAAAGAAAGTCGATCCCTCTTCAATCTCAACTTTTCAGTTTCCATTTAACTACATCTGTTGCAGGTTCTCTTAAAAAATGTATCATGGCGTTTCTAGTGAGGCGTGATCCTACCTTCTCCAGTAGAAGAATCCAACCAATAATATAAGGGCGACTAAAACGAAAACAACCACTGGCGCGACGATCGCCGAGATCTTGGAATCTGAAAAGAGTTTACAAAACACTCTTTAGGAGAAAATAAGGGTTGGTTATCATTTTATTTAAATGAAGTCTAACTTAGACCACGGTTTAGGAATTCTTTGGACCTCCAGATCCCTTCCTTAGTGAGTGATTTTAAGAAGACAAATGCTTTTCTAGTCTACGCCATGTGCTATCATGAAACTGTTCACGACAAATGGGTTTACGTAAAAGCGTTCGGCAAACTGAAAATGGCTCAGAACACGGTTATAATTAACACTGGGTGAACACTGGCAAAACTCTCTGGAAAAGTGGAAACTGGCCGAAAAAATCTACTGAAGGCAATGCTTACACAAAATTTTTTTTGGAAGGGAAATAAGGTGCATGATGAGAAATGTAGAAGTGGCGTATTGGTTTAACAAATTTAAATAAGAAGGCAAAAAAAAATTCTGATAGTTGTTGTCCAATACCTTCATCATGAAAATGGCCTATTAGTATAGGTAATAGCATGATTTATAGTTATATTTGGCACAAATACCACCAGTGATATTTCGAAATTGTTAGACATAATTTCACGAGCAGTTAGACGAGTGAAATTTGAGACAATTTTGAAATATCACAAGTAACATGTAGGTATTTCAGATTAAGCTGAAATACCACTGCTCTAAGTCAATCAAATTGCAGAAATTTCTCATGTAGTAGTATATATAGAGTAACGATAACGTTCGTTATAATAATAATGGTACATGGAAATAAATCGCTGCAAGTTTTTGGAAAACTACCGAGGTCCTTAACTTTCGCGCTAAGAAAAAGTAGCTATGCAAAGCTATACTTCAAAAGAACTCAACGAACTGAAATTCGGCCATAATGCTTGAAGACGTCAAAGACTCGGGACAAAAGAAGAGCAATAGTGGAACAGTGATGGTGGAACAGAGTGGTGCAACTGTCGAACAGTGTTGGTGAAAAAGGGGAATAATGGTAAAGGAACAGTAGAACAGTAATAGTGGAACAGTGATGGTGGAACAGTGTGGTGCTACAATGGAACAGTGGGACAGTGATGGTGGAACAGTGTGGTGGTACAGTGGAACATTGTTAATAAAACAAGGAAGTGGAACTGTGAAAAAGTGATGGTGGAACAGTGGCACAGTGTTAGTGGAACAGTGATAGTGGAAAAGTGGAAATATGTTGGTATAAGAGTGTTGCTAGAATAGTGTAACAGTGTTGGTGGAACAGTGTGGTGGAACAGTGAGGTGGAACAGTGCTGGTGGAAGAGCGTGGTGGAACAGAGGAGCAGTGTTGGTAGAACAGTAGAACAGTGTTGGTGGAACAGTGTGGTAAAACAGTGGAACAGTGATAGACGAACAATGTGGTGGAACAGTAAAACAGTCTTGGTGGAACACTCATAGTGGAAAAGTGAAACAGCGATAGTGGAACAGTGTGGCGGAACAGTGGAATAGTGATGGTGGAACAGTGATAGTGGAACAGTGGGGTAGAAAAGTGGAACAGTGCTGGTTGAACAGTGAAACAGAGATGGTGGAACCGTGGAACAGTGATAGTGGAAGAGTGTGGTGGAAAAGTGGAACAGTGTGGGTGGAACAGTGTGGTGGAACAGTTTTGGTGGAACAGTTGAACAGTTATGCTGGAACAGTGTAGGTGGAAAAGTGTTGGGGGAAAACTGAGGTGGAGGAGTGGAACAGTGTTGGTGGCACAGTGTGGTGGATCAGTGGAACAGTGTTGGTGGAATAGTGGAACAGTGTTGGTGGAACAGTGGAACAGTGATGGTAGAACAGTGTAGGTGGAACAGTGATAGTGGAACAGTGAGGTGGAACAGTAAAACAGTGTTTGTGGAACAGTGTGGCTGAACAGTGGAACAGTGTTGGTGGAACACTGTGGTGGAATAGTGTTGGTGGAACAGTGGAACAGTGAAAGTGAAACAGTGGAACAGTGATGGTGGAACAGTGTAGGTGGAACAGTGATGGTAGAGCAGTGTGGTGGAACAGGGGAAGACTGTTGGTAGAACAGTGGAACAGTGATGGAGGAACAATGTGGTGGAAAAGTGGAACAGTGTTGGTGGAACACTCATAGTGGAACAGTGAAACAGCGATGGTGGAACAGTGTGGTGGAACAGTGGAATTGTGATGGTGGAACAGTGATAGTGGAACCGTGCGGTGGAAAAGTGGAACAGTGTTGGTTGAACAGTGAAACAGTGATGGTGAAACCGTGGAACAGTGATAGTGGAACAGCGTGGTGGAACAGTTTTGGTGGAACAGTGGAACAGTGATGCTGGAACACTGAGGTGGAACAGTGGAAGAGTGTTGGTGGAACAGTGTGGTGTAACAGTGGAACAGTGAAAATGGAACAATGGAAGAGTGATGGTAAAACAGTGTGGTGGAACAGTGAAACAGTGTTGGTGGAATAGTGGAACAGTGTTGGTGGAACAGTGGAACAGTGGAACAGTGATGGTGGAACAGTGTAGGTGGAAAAGTGATAGTGGAATAGTGAGGTGGAACAGTAAAACAGTGTTTGTGGAACAGTGTGGGGGAACAGTGAAACAGTGTTGGTTCAACAGTGTGGTGGAAGAGTGTGGTGGAACAGTGAAATAGTGCTGGTGGAACAGTGTGATAGTGGAGCAGTGATAGTGGAACAGTGATGGTGGAACAGTGTGGTGGAACAGTGGAACAGTGTTGGTGGAATAGTGGAACAGTGACGTGGAAGAGTGGAACAGTGTTGGTGGCACAGTGTGGTGCAACAGTGGAACAGTGTTGGTGGAATAGTGGAACAGTGTTTGTTTAACAGTGGAACAGTGGAACAGTGAAAGTGGAACGTTGTGGTGGAACAGTGGAACAGTGATGGTGGAACAGGGTTGGTGAACAGTGATGGTAGAACAGTCAGGTGGAACAGTGAAACAGTGTTGGTGGAACAGTGATGGTGGAACAGTGGAAGAGTGTTGGTGGAACAGTGTGGTGGAACCGTGGAACAGTGTTGGTGGAACAGTGTGATGGAACTGTGGAACCTTGTTGGTGGAACAGTGGAACCGTGATGGTGGAACATTGTAGGTGGAACAGTGATACTGGAACAGTTTGGTGGAATAGTAAAACAGTGTTTGTGGAACGGTGTGGTGGAACAGTGGAACAGTGAAAGTGCAACAGTGTTGTCGAACAGTGTTGGTGGAACAGTGGAACAGTGAAAGTGGAACATTGTGGTGGAACAGTGGAACAGTGATGATGGAACAGGGTTGGTGGAACAGTGATGGTAGAACAGTGAGGTGGAACAGTGAAACAGTGTTGGTGGAACAGTGTGGTGGAACAGTGGAACAGTGAATGTGGAACAGTGGAAGAGTGTTGGTGGAACAGTGTGGTGGAACAGTGGAACAGCGTTGGTGGAACAGTGTGAAGGAACTGTGGAACCGTGTTGGTGGAACAGTGGAAGAGTGATGGTGGAACAGTGTGGGTGGAACAGCGGAACAGTGATGGTTTGAACAGTGTGGTGGAACAGTGGAACAGTGTTGGTGGAATAGTGGGGTGGAACAGTGGAACAGTGTTGGTGGAATAGTGGAACAGTGTTGGTGGAACAGTGGAACAGTGATGGTGGAACAGTGTAGGTGGAACAGTGATAGTGAAATAGTTAGATGGAACAGTAAAACAGTGTTTGTGGAACAGTGTGGTGAAACAGTGGAACAGTGTTGGTGGAATAGTGGAACAGTGTTGGTGGAGCAGTGGAACAGTGATGGTGGAACAGTGTGGTGGAACAGTGGAACAGTGTTTGTGGAACAGTGTGGTGAAACAGTGGAACAGTGTTGGTGGAATAGTGGAACAGTGTTGGTGGAGCAGTGGAACAGTGATGGTGGAACAGTGTGGTTGAACAGTGGAATAGTGATGGTTGAACAGTGTGGTGCAACAGTGGAACAGTGTTGGTGGAATAGTGTGGTGGAACAGTGGAACAGTGTTGGTGGAATAGTGGAACAGTGTTGGTGGAACAGTGGAACAGTGATGGTGGAACAGTGTAGGTGGAACAGTGATAGTGAAATAGTTAGATGGAACAGTGGAACAGTGTTTGTGGAACAGTGTGGTGAAACAGTGGAACAGTGTTGGTGGAATAGTGGAACAGTGTTGGTGGAGCAGTGGAACAGTGATGGTGGAACAGTGTGGTGGAACAGTGGAACAGTGTTTGTGGAACAGTGTGGTGAAACAGTGGAACAGTGTTGGTGGAATAGTGGAACAGTGTTGGTGGAGCAGTGGAACAGTGATGGTGGAACAGTGTGGTTGAACAGTGGAATAGTGATGGTTGAACAGTGTGGTGCAACAGTGGAACAGTGTTGGTGGAATAGTGTGGTGGAACAGTGGAACAGTGTTGGTGGAATAGTGGAACAGTGTTGGTGGAGCAGTGGAACAGTGATGGTGGAACAGTGTAGATGCAACAGTGATAGTGAAATAGGGGGAACGGTAAAACAGTGATTGTGGAACAGTGTGGTAAAACAGTGGAACAGTGGAACAGTGTGGTGGAACAGTGGAACAGTGATGGTGGAACAGTGTAACAGTGATGGTGGAACAGTGGAACAGTGTTGGTGAAACAGTGGAACAGTGTTCGTGGAACAGTAGAACAGTGTTTGTGGAACAGTGTTATGGAACAGTGCTGGTGGAACAGTAGAGCAGTGGAACAGTGAAAGTGGAACAGTGTGGTGGAACAATGAAATAGTGATGGTGGAACAGTGTGGTGGAACAGTGGAACAGTGTTGATGGAATAGTGGAACAGTGATGGTAGAACAATGGAAGAGTGATGGTGAAAAAGTGTGGTGAACAGTGGAACAGTGTGGGTGGAACGATGGAACAGTGTTGGTTGAACAGTGAGAGTGGAACAGTGGATCAATGACGGTGGAACAGTGTGGTGGTACAGTGGAACAGTGTTGGTGGTTTAGTAGAACAGTGATGGTGGAACAGTGTGGTGGAACACTGAGGTGGAACAGTGGAATAGTGTTGTTGGAACCGCGATGGTGGATTGGTTATGGTGGAACAGTGGAACAGTGTTGGTGGAACAGTGGAACAGTGATGGTGGAAGAGTGTGGTGATAGAGTCGGACAGTGATGGTTGAACATTGGTGGTGGAACAGTGATGGTGAATGAGGGATTGGCCTTTGGAAAAGGCCAATTTTGCTGTTGGGTTAAATCCACGTTCCTGTTATCTAGAGTTATCTAGAAAGTCTTGAAAGGCTTCCATAGATACATTTTCTTGGTCTATTTTGCATAAAAACAAAAGCTTGCAATTCAGCATCCAGGCACTTTTGGGGAAACTAAAGAAAACTATCTCGCTATTAAAAAGTCATTTAGCCGCAATGCAAAGCTATGCTTTAAAAGAACTCAACGAACCAAACCAAACTACTCGAAGACGTCAAAGACTCAAATAGAAGAGCAAAAAAACACAGAAAATCAATCATCAGGAATTAAAATTGAAAACACACCGGCTTTATATTTAACGACAAACAACGTTTCCCAAGTTCAATCAAAACAGAGAATCCTCCCGTATTATAATCCATTCTCTTTGGCTAGAAAGAAAAGAAACAGAGGGAGCGGATTTTTAATAAGGGAGCTATAAAAAGTCCTGACAACAAAGCCAAACTAAAGAGTATTTTCACTGAAGTGTTTTTTAATCCAGTTTTTTGGTTACCTTTTCTCCGTTGCGACGCAGATCTTCCTAGTTTTCCTTCCGGTTTTTCGTTTCCAGTGGAACTAATTTTTTCACTCGATGTTGTCTTTGTAGTTTGTTCCGTTGGCGGTGCAGTCGTAGTTGAAGAAGGAACTACATAAAAACAGAGTATAAAAAATTCCCTTAGGGGTTTGTTAAATGCATCATCATCATACTAAATAATAATAATAATAATAATAATAATAATAATAATAATACGGTAAGTTGAGTCTGCCTGATATTTTTGGAAGCGCACAGTTGCCAGCCATCGTTGGTGCTGCCCATATCTGGGGAAATTGTTATGTCTCTAAGCTGCGCGTGGGATTGCCGCTGAACTGGAGAGGATCACACCATAATAATAATAATTACTTTATTTAACCTTAGCAGTATTTATAGCACCATTTTGGCATCGGGAGAAAGCGTAACCCCC